AACCGAAAGGGAAAATAAATACAAAGTGACTCAAAGGGATGGGAGATCTTCTAGACAGTTGGATAGAAGATCTCCCATCCCATTGCAAAAGGAACAGAAAAATATTTCAAAAAAGGAGCAAACAAAAGGAATATAAAACAGAGAAGTCTGCACAAAATAAAACAGCAGCAGCAGTCCAGCAGTCGTCCAGCAGCACCATCCAGCACCAAACCTAGCACAAACAGTAACAACAAAACAGTCGCAGATCAGAACACACAAGCAGCACATCACAACCCATGGCAGGAAGCTTCTCAGCCAAAGAAAAGGATTACAAAAAACAGAGTAATCTGCAAAAAGATAGGAGCAGCAGTCCAGCAACAGTCTAGCAGCAGTCCAGCAGCACCATCCAACATCAAAACCCAACACAAACAGCAACAACAAAAACAAGCCAAGTCACCGAACAATAGACACACAAGCAGCACATCACAAACTTGTTGAGGCTACACAAATTGATGTAATGAGTTGTCCTCTCAAGATTTTTTTAGCCTTCACAACATGCAATATAGTTTTCGCCTTGTCTACACATACACAACACACATCCTCCATACGAACCTTCATGCGGTTGAGATTCACAATGGTTGGGGGAGCATCCAGGGAAATTCTCCAAACAAAGATTTTAATACATTGTTGACGATACATCAGAGTAAAAGTAAAATAAATTATATTTTTTTTTGGTTGTCCAAATAGAATGTTCCTGAATGGTTCGTTTTTTTAACAGGAGAATGATAAAAAATGTAAGAAAGAGAAATTTTTTAAAATTTTCATATATTTGGTTAGCTTGAAAAGAAAAATGATGGAAAAAATAATTTTTCTTCTTACTTGAACTTTCTCACAAATAAACAACCTTTTTTTTTTGAAAAAAATACAAGGAAATGCAAGAAAGTTGTGATCTATAACTAACTTCTTATTTTACCCTTATTTTTTTTAAAATATTTTTCGGTTATTAATTCTAAAAAATTTTGATATAAATTTGATTAATCACATAATTTGGTCCAAAGATCTTTGTATTGGTGATTCTCTTAAAATTAAGTTTCGAGCCATTTTTTAAAAAAATTTTAACTTTCAAATATAATTACATATTTTTTTCCTTTTTTAGACCAATTTAATATAATTAAAGATAATTTAAACAATTATAAAAAATTTCTTATAACTTTTATTTCTTTCAAACAGTATAATGAAATTTTTTTAAAATTTTTTAGGAAATTTTTCATTCTAACTAAATACATATATGAAAATATATTTTTTATCATTTTTTTTTCACTTCATTTTCATTTTTCATCATTTTTTTCTTCCTAACTAAACGGATCCGAAGAGATTAAATCAACAGCCAAAAAAACAAGAGAACCAAGTCAAAAAGACTCAATTCCTCAGTTAAAAGTTTATAAGAAATCATTAATAATAAAAAAGGATCAATATTATTGATTGCTATAAAACTGGCATAATTACTATTTTTTCCCAAAAAAAATATGTAGTTTCTATTGATTGATATAAGTACCCATATACAAATAAAGAGAGATGTTTAGAATTGATAATTGAGCCGAGTTATTTTGACTCGGTTAGAACTCAACTCAGGCTTGGTTCGTGTTTTAAATGAGCCGAATTTGAACAATGTTTTAGATTTCTTTAAAAATGAGCTTAAAATGCTTGGCTTGAACTCATAAAGTTTGATTCGTTTATATATAAATTAGTCAAGTTATTCGAGTTTAGTTTGTTTTGAGTTTGGCTCGGGCTCGACTCATTTTTTAAACGAGTCGAGTTTAAATATTTTTTTAGACTCGTTTAAAAAAACGAGCTCGATAAGTTCAGTCCGATCTCGCAAAATTTATCTCAATTATCAACCCTAGTCATGTCCAAGATACAATAGGCATCATCTATTCCAGCATTACAAAAATAAAACATAGTTAGCTCTAACTAACGTATTCTAGAGAATGTATATGATTTGGGGCGGTACTTCCTATTCAACCTAATGTGAATATAATTTTAAACTTTGTGGATTTAGATTCAAATTTCTCCAAATGGGATGTGGAACCCTAATTCTATGGGCTGGTTTGGAGTGACGAAGAAGTTTGCTTAGGAAAACCGGCTTTTTCAGTTCTAAGAATTTTTTTTTTTTTTNTGTGATCTATAACTAACTTCTTATTTTACCCTTATTTTTTTTAAAATATTTTTCGGTTATTAATTCTAAAAAATTTTGATATAAATTTGATTAATCACATAATTTGGTCCAAAGATCTTTGTATTGGTGATTCTCTTAAAATTAAGTTTCGAGCCATTTTTTAAAAAAATTTTAACTTTCAAATATAATTACATATTTTTTTCCTTTTTTAGACCAATTTAATATAATTAAAGATAATTTAAACAATTATAAAAAATTTCTTATAACTTTTATTTCTTTCAAACAGTATAATGAAATTTTTTTAAAATTTTTTAGGAAATTTTTCATTCTAACTAAATACATATATGAAAATATATTTTTTATCATTTTTTTTTCACTTCATTTTCATTTTTCATCATTTTTTTCTTCCTAACTAAACGGATCCGAAGAGATTAAATCAACAGCCAAAAAAACAAGAGAACCAAGTCAAAAAGACTCAATTCCTCAGTTAAAAGTTTATAAGAAATCATTAATAATAAAAAAGGATCAATATTATTGATTGCTATAAAACTGGCATAATTACTATTTTTTCCCAAAAAAAATATGTAGTTTCTATTGATTGATATAAGTACCCATATACAAATAAAGAGAGATGTTTAGAATTGATAATTGAGCCGAGTTATTTTGACTCGGTTAGAACTCAACTCAGGCTTGGTTCGTGTTTTAAATGAGCCGAATTTGAACAATGTTTTAGATTTCTTTAAAAATGAGCTTAAAATGCTTGGCTTGAACTCATAAAGTTTGATTCGTTTATATATAAATTAGTCAAGTTATTCGAGTTTAGTTTGTTTTGAGTTTGGCTCGGGCTCGACTCATTTTTTAAACGAGTCGAGTTTAAATATTTTTTTAGACTCGTTTAAAAAAACGAGCTCGATAAGTTCAGTCCGATCTCGCAAAATTTATCTCAATTATCAACCCTAGTCATGTCCAAGATACAATAGGCATCATCTATTCCAGCATTACAAAAATAAAACATAGTTAGCTCTAACTAACGTATTCTAGAGAATGTATATGATTTGGGGCGGTACTTCCTATTCAACCTAATGTGAATATAATTTTAAACTTTGTGGATTTAGATTCAAATTTCTCCAAATGGGATGTGGAACCCTAATTCTATGGGCTGGTTTGGAGTGACGAAGAAGTTTGCTTAGGAAAACCGGCTTTTTCAGTTCTAAGAATTTTTTTTTTTTTTATTTCCTTTGTCTGTCCCAGGGGGAGCTAATCTTCGACCAGAGAAAAAAGAAAGCTGAGAAAAGGAAAACAAACTTGAAAGTAACTGATGGAATCATATTATAATAAACTGCTGACACTTGATAAGTTCTCCATGCGTACGAAATTTAAAACATGTCGAACTCTTTATGAGATTATATTAACTTGTGATCAAGTCTGAAAGGGATGAATCAACTGTAAGATAAGTTCTTTCTGTTTGTGTCAACAAACTTCAACGTAATCTAATGAAGGCTGTCGATAGGAGTGTCATTAAGCAAACATTATATTTTGGATCAATGCGATGCAAACTATTTTCATACCGCTCCAAAATCCTTACACCATTAAGTCTGTCAGTCATGTCGGATGAAACAAGTTCATATCGAGCCTTAGTGGATTTGTATTTTAAAATAATCCACCCATTGAGTTCACGGTGTGTATAAATTATGTATAACTGATATATTAATGAGTTGTGGCGTGTGCTTTTTCTGATTAGTTTCACTCATACGCGATTCATTTATTAATCGTGTCATATCAGATCTACTCGTTTACTAACGGTTGGTTTAAGGAAAATTTAAACCCTCTAATTTGATATTGTGTTCATATCGTATTAACGGATCGTCTTATATTTTGACATCCACCGTCCACCTCCCAACACCTAACCCTCTACCTAAAACCGTTTGATTGTGTTATAATTTTAGAAAAAGAAGTTGAGAGTATGTTTCTCATGGGTAGAAAAAAAATTGGTAATAAGATGGTTAAAAATAAGCGAAAATTTGATTGGACAAAACTTAATTTTTATATTTAATAAAAAAATATGATAATTATATATATAAGGCTTTCTGATGATCCTCTCACACACATTGATGCTGCACGATGCACAAACTTTACAACCATCCTTGTCGCTATGTGAGGTAAATTCGTTTGAATCTCACACATATATGATTCGTTTATTAATTCGTGTTTAATAAATCGTATTATATCATATTATAACATGTATATACACGATGTCATATATTGTTTTTGATTGATATCGCTCATATCCAATTTATTTATTAATCATATATTAATAAGTTTACTCGTTTATAAAATGGGTGGCTTAAAAAATATTGAAACTCTTTAATTTCATGTCGTGTTACCAGATTATGTCATATTTTGACACTATTTTTTGTCGCACCTCACCCGATCATAAAAATTTATGTAAAAACTACCAATTGGTTCATTGAATTTGAGGAATGGAAATGCAAAAATAATATCATATTTTTGTTTAATACATATAAATGAGCAGTTACAAGATGAAGGAAGGAAGAAGTTATATGATTTATATGAGCATTTGATATTGACACATTGCATAGCTATTATCTAAACCGACCTTGGAAGATATTGTATGTTTAATGCAACCTTTAGGCGGACATTGTGGTCATCTAATAAGTAATAAAATTGCATATTATATTTGTTGATCACCTATGTAAGTTAGCCACAACAGAATCATCAGGCCTGCCTTAGTTTTCGTCAATGAAAGCATCCCCCTCCAACGACCATTGGATCACCACTTCATCTCTTAAAACTCTGAAACTCGCCTCAATCCGGTTGCCGAAAAATGGAGACTGATCCGACCAACATAGATCAGTCCGGTGGCCACATAGTTTTTTCAGATGATCAGAATATAGGTCATATTAAGGCGTACACATGCACCTTCTGCAAGAGAGGCTTCTCAAATGCACAGGCACTAGGGGGCCACATGAACATACACAGAAAAGATAGGGCAAAGCTCAAAGAATCCTCCAGTGAAAACCTACTTTCTGAGAACATAACAAAGAAGAAGAACACCTCTGATAGTCCTCCGGTTTCTGCGGATGAAAACTCATTGCAACCTGAATCTGGTGAGGATAAAAGTTTCACACCAAGAAGGTCCTTGAATTCAGACAAGGAAGATGATGATGTCGTTGATAGGGCAAAACATGATACTGGAGCACCGGTGCAACTGCCCTTATTCGCCGAGACACCATGGACAACCAATGATCCGGAAGCAAGCAGTAGCGTTGGTGGGAATGTACAGAAGAGCACACAGTTGAGTCATAGTTCCTCTCCGACAGAATTGGACCTTGAGCTTCGGTTAGGGCCAGAACCTCGCCACTCACCGGACATCAACAAAGGACAATAGCTAGAGAGTTATTTTCAATATTGGGGATATGTTGAAAGAGGTTTCTTCTCATCCTTTTTCTCAGCCTTTTGCCATTGATAACTGTTATCTGAAGAAAAAGAATGTTGTTTACATTGTTGTAATCGACTTCTAGTTCAAACTCTTTTGTTCCATATGATCAAATCTGATTGGGGTACTCCATCATCTATCTGACCACCTCTCTCAGATTTGCTTGCTTGGTTATTTCCAGACTTGCTGAGATCATCCTACCCTTGTATGTACATCAATTTTTGATTCTTCTTAATGAAATATTTACTTCCTAGACTTCCAGTTCAAACCCATGTTACCGTGGAAGGCATATATACGTACATCTAGGGTAATTTGCAATTCATCCATTCAATTTTCTTTTTCTTTTTTTTCCGGTAAGTAATTGATTTCATTAACCAAAGACACCCTTTACTTTCACTCTTGCTTTTCTTATGATTTGATTATTACTTTTCCCTTCCAATTAAGTATTTATACATCAGATCAGCTAAACTTCATACTCATTGAGAAAGAATTTTCCCTCTGAATTGTTCATGGTATGATTTGCTTGAGATTTGAAAGGTCAGTATGCTTAATCACAGACATTAAAGGTAAAAAGATTGGTTAGGACCTCAGGAAGACTAGTCCAATCTTAAGAAGATGATTGAATGTACTTCCTAAAACAGACAATTTATACAGCTATTATCAACACAATGTTTTTTTTCCTCCAAATCATTTCTGTCACAGAATACATCTAAACAAAGAAGTGAACGATAATAAGGGGTGCCTAAAGCATCTCATGGAAAACATTATCATTTTGACTTCATCAAGAAATCAAACCCGAGTTGTTGAGTAGGATGATTCACCACATTTTGGTACCAAAATAATGATATCCAGAGAAAACAATCTAAAGTAGCTTCGGTTAATGAGATAAAGAGTTTAGAGTAGGTAAAGTCAGAGGAAAGAACCATTATGAAACACAATTGCATGTTCAAATTTCCACAAGATATGCAATGTACGTAGATGATTAAAGCTAGATGGAATTACCTTGTTTAACTCTAATATCACTTGTTGGAGATAGTTAGAGAGTTCAACAATACATAGCTCAATATATATGGTTGAAACTTATACAAATTTAACAGTTTAAGTCAAGAGACAAGGTAGTGAGTTCATCCATATTATATTAGGGATCTTGTACTTATTCTTTCTGATGTGGGATCACCACTTTTGATATCTCAACAAAGTTTGCTTTTGTGATTTGGCCGTTTCATGTTGAAGCTATAATGAGGCATTTTTATTTCGAATATTAATTACAAATTGTATTTACAGCATGCCTTTCTCCTTTTTTAAGATGCAAAAGTAATATTTGAGTTTTATATTTAAGTTTTGCCATCGTATCTTTTTTGATTGATAATATAACTAATTCACTTAATTTTTATTTGTTTTTGGGAAAGTAAACCATTGATTGTAAACTCAGGGTGTACAAAAGAAGGGGATGCCCCGTTCAATACACCAGGCATTACCCAATGTTTCTATTGACAAACAAGCAAAAACATTTGGCAACCATTACATCCAACACAACCCACCATTCTGGCTCCAAACAAGCCAAAAATCATTACTGGAGTCTAACTCCAAGCAAAGCAACTTAAGCTGGAACCACAACTGCAGGCACATTTGCCACTCCAAGCTGGAATCACAATTCACTTCATCTTATTTGTAACATAGATAAAGATCTTCATGTTCTTCTAACTTTTTTTCTTTGATTTACACCATGAATTGCCATATTACATGTTTTGATTATGATTGTAAATATTTTCATTGTTATCTTGTATTTTTTTTTTTTTTGGAAAATATCGTATTTTTTCATTATCTCCTATATTATTGGGTTCATTTACTAACCTTTTTCTTAATTTTTTTTGTTACTAGTAATAAATTTATCAAATGATTATTTTTTAGATTCTATTAAATTGTTTTGTTTTCTCTCTTTTTTCTTCTTTTTATTTCTGGATGGTGAGAGATCAAAAAGAGAGTGTTTGTGCTATACACACACACATACAAAGAAAGATGGGGAGAGAGAGAGTATTCTTTCGATTGAACAAGAACTTTTAAAGAAGACCTTCATTTCCCTTTAAAAAAAGTCAAGAAAAAGAAAAAAAAATTATTCTGAAGCCAAATGCTCTTAGATGGGTAATTGAATAGAGAGATAAATCTTTTTTTCTTCTTCTTATTGAATGTAGTCTATCACTGGGTGGTGGAGGTGTGTTCAATGTTTCACAATATTTAGTTTTAAGTCTTTGATCCGGGGGTGTCGGGGGAGAGAGAATGGTAAGTTTGGTCTTACTTGACTTTTTTGAGTAGCTTTTATGTTACCATTATTTTTTTTCCCCAATATTCGAATTCAGATGTGTTTAATTTTATGGGCTGTATAATGGGCCCACCCTACTCTCAATTTAAAATTTTTGATCTGGACTTAAACTTGGGGCTTTCGGTACAAGTGAGGCTTGAGACCCAGGCCTTGTTGGCCCTAACCACTGGCAACAAGAGCGAGGACCATCAGCTATATGTTGCAGCAGTTAAAACTGCATAATTTTTGTTGGTGATAAGTAGTTAAGAAGAGCATTTCGTTGGAATTAATTTAAGAAGACGGGTCGGCAGAAGGGCGGCAAGTTGGGGGACTTAGATTCGGATGAAGGCCAAAACGGATCCATTCTGTTTTGGGAGTCTATTGCAGATGTCACGGGTCACATTTTCACTCGAATTTTATTTTGTAATGTCATTAAGATTTAACATCCAATTTTACCAAATGCACACAAACACTCATATAAACACACTGTTGAACATAATAGGGGCAAGAACAAATTCATAGCAAACACACAATATTACAGGTCACAAACTTTTTACTTCTCAGCAACCTTAAAGGAAAACGGCTGAGTCTACTTACAAAACGTATTCAAACTCTCTTAATGCACTGCATACCCCACCATAGTTATAAATAGCACACACAATGACGGTTACAAAGTCCAACCGCCTAGACAATGCAAACATTTATCAAATTTGCCTTCAATGATTTGTGGAGGATTTGCCACTCCCCACAAACTTGCTGAGCATCTGCTGCTGATCATGGTTGATTCTGCTGAACATGGCTAAGCAGTTGCAACTACCGTTTGACTCAGCCAGTAACTGCTCAAAATTACTTGCATACTGTGTGCACATGCCAATAACTTCCCCTCATACTATGCACATGCCAGTTTCTAGACAGAACCACCTTACCTGAGTTACATATGCCACCAACTGCTCATAACTGCCTCACATAACATGCACATGTCATCCTTGTGAGCCCACAACACTTGATTTTCCTTGCTTAAGTGTCAAGTCAGGTCCAGCCCATGACTTGGTCTTTTAAGCTCACAATGCACCAAATTTCGAGCCCAATGGCTAACCTTGATTAATTGCTTGCTTGTGCCCAATATGCCTATGCATGTGTTCCCTTCCTCAATCATCCATAAGGCTTTTACCAACAATGAATTATGCCTAACGTGTCTATATATGTGTTGTTTCTCCTAGCTAAGCATCGGGATTCCACCGACGACAAGTCCTACCGATCATTGGCCCCACATCTCAGGTCTCAAAACTTGGAAATGCATCTCCCACACCCATGATATGAATTTGTTGGGGTCGTGCCTTGCTTTGGTGTGCCAAGGCTAGGGGCATAGAAGTCGCTGGGGAAGTTGGCTTGGGGCCCCCTTTGCAGAGCACCCCCTATAATAGCATTAATGAGCAAAAACCTAGTGGCATCAACAAACATACTTTAAATTGAAGAATCACAACAACGAGAGTCTGGGGTATAGTCGTTGCATGCCACTTGACTTATTGTTGAACCACTTTGACACTAAACCAAACATGCATCAAAGTCCTTAGGCAGCCAACTTTGCTCCAAGGGGTTGCTTGGCTAAGCACACCCCCAATTTGGCTAAAGCATGGGGGCACATTTGGGCGAGGTACCCCGCATGCATAGCGTGCCAATGAGCAAAAAGGGTAACAATAGACCACTTGGCAATAGGGGTGTTTAGGGGCCAGATTGTCCATGGATCCCGTTACCTAGCTTGAAAAAAGTAGGCCTAAAACCAAGTAGACTCGATAGTTAGTCAGCCTGAGTCTGATCCCAACATCCTTAAAAAGAGGGTTTGAGCCTATCCCCAAATCTATTACTTGGCCCGAAACTTGATCAAATAGTCCACCCATAAAAAGTCCGTTAAACCCAGCCCAAGGAATCGGTCACCCAATCCAGTCTAACCCCGCTCGTCCGACCCAACTTGAACAGTTCTAAAAATAGTTAGACACATTAAATTATTCATAAATAAAATAAAAATTATAAATAAAATTATTCATAATTTACATTTTGTCTATTTTGACTCTACTTTTAATTCAAAAACATAAATTATAAAAAAATTCATTATTTTTAAATAAAATTTTATATAAAAAACCCGTCCAATAGGCTTGCCCACAGGCCCTCCCAACAGACCCATAGGCCTATGCCAGCAAGGTTATCCAGTGAGTGGCGAGTTGAAGTGTGAGTAGCTTACTTCTACCTGAAATTCAACCCGACCCGTTTGATAATTCACCCAAGTAAAAGCTTGGGCCTATTCTACCCAGACCCAACCCAAAACAAATTTCATGGGCAGGACCGGCCAATGGACACCCCTACTTGGCATTGGTTGAGTAAATGTCAGTGATGATGAGTATTCACTCTAGAGAAGACAGGTATATGTTGGTGCACCAAAAAAATTCTCAAAGATTGATATAATTTTTCGACATAATACTTTCACATGAATGTTTAATTTGGGTTCAACGACCTTATTTTAGAATGCCTTAAGATATAATTAATAGACAAAGTTCAAAGTAAAAAGGCATAACAACGATGAAAAAAAAAAAAGAGAACACTTTTATTAATCTTAGTTAAAACTTAGAAAAATTTCAACCACACCCCCTTTAGTTTATCATATCTTCAAGAATATCCCTCTAGTTTTTGAATCTTCAATGACACCCCTGCCAGATTAAAAATATTAAGTAAACTATAATTTTATTAAATTGCCCATGATACATTTGATGACAAACTTCATCCACACCCCCTCTAGATAAGCATATTTTCAATGAGACCTCATCTAGATAAGTATATTTTCAATGAGACCCCCTCTGTTTTCTAATTTTTTTTACGTAATTAAATTCAAACTGAATAAAATTTGATTCAATTAATTAAAATTTATTTTTTTACATATTAAAATTTGTGTCAATTGAAAATTATTTTTTTTTAAATATTAAAATTTGGGCTATTTAAAATTTTGTTTGAGCCAATTAAAAATTATTTTTCATCAACTCAAATCAAATTTTAATCAATTCGCATTGAATTTTAATCAGTCCAAATTTTAATATATAAAAATATATGAATTTTATTTGAATTAAATTTTAATAAATCAAATTTTAATTGACACGAATTTTAATAAGTAAAAAAAATATAAATTTTAATCAACTCGAAAGAGAATTTTAATCGGCGTTAACAACTCGGATAGAGTTCAAATAGGGTCAAATTTTAATATGTAAAAAATAAATTTTAATAGGCTCGAATTTTTTTTAAAATTTACGAATTAATAAATAACAAATTAGTATTTACTAACAAATTATTTACTAAAATTGTTATTTACGAATTTTTTTTAAAATTTTAACAGCTCGAAATTTAATAAAATTTTATGTAGGAAAATTACTTGAGATTATGTAGGGGCATTTTGGTATTTTAGATGAATTTTTTTTGTTAGCAATGGTATTTTAATGGAAGGAGGTGTTACTGATGTATAAATTAAACTAGAAGGGATGTTATTGAAGATTTAAAAACTAGAGAGGATGTCCTTGAAGATATGATAAACTAGAAGAGGTGTAATTAAAATTTTACCTTAAAACTTTCAGTTTCAAATGACTGATGTATCTGCCTTTATTAAAACAGTAATTCCTAGCCTAAAACTATACTAAGCACTATTTTTAATAAGTTGAAATCATGAGCCTTTGATGAGTTTGTTCGTATTATTCTTTTTGTAATTAATGCCTATAAAGTGGCACCTCTAATCGACAGTTGCACTACCTTTCGGACATTTTTCTTTCATTGTTTTCTCTTGCCTCTGCTGTTGCCTTCTTGATTTCAATGCATTTTGAATTCCATGATAACCGGCCTTCGTCTTTCTTTAAATCTGAAAAGTCGGGTTGACTCACTTACTTCTTCCTACATTTGCTACCTGAATGTGACGTGATATACCATTTTAGCTTAGTCGCTTTGTAGACAAATGTCATTCCATTGTTTATACACAAACACATGAGAAAAAAAAACAACCTAATTATTCCATATTAGTCTGACAGTGAAAACTCTTATTCAGTTACTACATTTGCTTGCAACTGGCTTTTTTGAAGCATTTACAGCCTCTATACACATCTTTTCTGAATTTTTCTTTATAACTGCTTGACATTATATTTTATAATGTCGTTTATTGTGTTTCTTTTTCCAAGCATTTCTTGTATATAGTCTCATCCAATGTTTTAACAATGCTTCGCCAAGTCAAAACTTAGATTCATTTTTCTTGGCTTTCCAGCATAATCCTGTCATGTGGGCCAGCCAACAAAACCATAGCACAAGCCAGTGGAGGTTCAATATATTTCTCCTTTTTTTTTAAAAAAAAAAAAAAAATACACACCCAATCGATGATCAATTACAGCTAAAGTTACCTTCCTTGAAAATCGATTTTGCCTTTTGTCAGATTGTCTTCATTGAAATATCTATTAAAAAAAAATGGCAATAGCACTAAATTGATATATTTAAACCTATTCGGAATCACAATACTATCACCAAACACACGTTCCGAGGAGCCTCCATTTTGTTGGCATCCGGTCTGGTCATCCACGTCGACATGCCCACCTTAATATAGCCAATGGAAATTCATTCGGAAGCTAATCCACAGGATTTCTCTCTCCACTTTCTTTTTTGTTTTGGTATTGAAATGGACATATAGGTAATCCCATCCACGTATCCGTGCTTTGTCCGATTATATTTTATTGCAATGTTATTTAGATTTAAAATTTTAATTTAATTTATTAACATAATGATGTAATTTCATAAGAATTATTAAATCAACACTAAATTCTAATATTTAATGGGACCTACAGTCTATCCAAATGTCACAATAAACTACGTCAATAAATTATATTAGTAAATTAGGTCACAATATCATTACTCTATTGCAATTATGTCTCTATTAAAATTAAGTTTATTCAAGTGATAATAAAGACGAACGACAAATTTAGATGTACTTAAAAGTAAGATTATGCAAGTAATAGTCAAAGCAAACGATAAATTTAGATGCACTCAGTTAGAATTTTGTTAATTCTTTTGGGTTAGGTCATGAATTTTCCTCATTAATTTCCTAATCTCAATATGAATGATTTATTTTTAATCGAATTGGAAAGATGATTAATTGAATTGCGCATAAATTAATTTAAACATTTCTTACCGATGAACTCAAAAAAAACTAAGGTTACCATGTGCTCTAGACTAACATTATAGAATTTTCATAATTATGAAAATTCAAATCTGCTCAAAAATTAATTTAATTGGGTGATTTAATAGTTGAATATGACATTTGATAATTTAAAAAATATTAGGTTTAATTCTTTATCACATTCTTTAAGAGATAGTCTTTTTTATCTATTTTATAGAATTCTCTGACACAATTCAAATTACCATAATTAGCCTCAAAAATCGAGGAAATAGGCTGCACAAGTCTAGATTCCTGATTGAAAAAAAAAAAAAATGGAATTCTTATCACCGGACAAACCATTCGCTGGTTTCACCCCCACTTACTCCACATTCAACAACAACGACTCAACCCATAGGTCACACCACGCCATAAAGTCACCCCCATACTCCTGCTGCAACCAAACTGTAAAGTCACTCCATTCTCTTCCCGCAACCCAACGTTTGAATTCCCCTTTCTGTTTCAATCTACTATTCGTCAGCATTAAACTCAAAACAGTCCGACCACTACCACACTCTGATGACCCACTCCATCTCAACCGTCGGAGCTGTCAACAGAACACCGGTACTTTGTTTTTCTCGCCCTTCTTCAGCCACAACCTGTATATATTTGTATTCTTATAGACTTATACATATATTTTTCTCTTATCGGACAGAGTGATGTTTTTTCGGTACTCTTTATTCCAGTCATTCTTGTTGTTTTAATCGTCTGTCTCTATGTTCATAATAATGTTTATGGTACATGTTTGGCATGGTTCAAAATAGTTCGAATTCTGTAACATATGGTCAGAATTAATGACCAACCTGTTTGTTAGTACCTGGAATGTATGTAATTTCATGAGTGACAATTAGAATTCATACTTTTAAGGTTTAATTTTATTGGTTTTTGTAGGAATTTAGTTGAGAATATGGAATCTGTGGTTTCCTTTGAATCGTGCGGTTCATTGGGTTTTAAGAAGCGGACATCTTTGGTGCAGTTGAATTTGAATTGCTCAGGTTCGGGAAATTCTGTTCCAAGCACAGCCTTCTTCGGTAATAGATTGAAGAAAGTGAGATCCAAAACCACCGGTCCAAAGATTTCATCTAGTAGATTCAAAGTTGTGGCAGAAGTGGATGAGCAGAAGCAGAGCAACAAGGACAAATGGAGAGGCCTTGCATTCGATATGTCCGATGACCAACAGGACATCACCAGAGGGAAAGGAATGGTGGACTCTCTCTTCCAAGCTCCAATGGGTGCTGGTACTCACCACGCGATCTTGAGTTCCTATGATTACATCAGTGCAGGTCTTCGACAGTAAGTACTCAAAAGCCTTAAATGCCTCGAAGATTGTATTCAGTTATTGACATATGTGTAGGTGCTTGTTTTTGTGTCCAAGAAACATAGGCAGGACTTAATTTTGGTCACATTATAACTGCTAAATGCTTCATTAGATACCAATTGGATAATAACATGGATGGCTTCTACATTGCCCCTGCTTTCATGGACAAGCTAGTAGTTCACATTACTAAGAACTTCTTGAACCTGCCCAACATCAAGGTTTGCCATCCAGTATCTGACTATATTATTTCAATTTCTATGCAAAGTCGAATGGAATTAATGGTTGAAATTTTTTTGTTGCAGGTTCCCCTCATCCTAGGTGTTTGGGGAGGAAAAGGTCAAGGAAAAACATTCCAGTGTGAGCTTGTCTTTGCCAAAATGGGCATCAAGTGAGTTGATGTTTTCTCTGTTTTTTGTGTAAATTTAAAAATCAATATGATTTGAAAGATCAAAATTTTAATATATATGTTTGATGTCTCCTTGTTGATCTTAATGACAATAACACTTTCAGCCCCATTACAATGAGTGCTGGAGAATTAGAAAGTGGGAATGCGGGGGAGCCTGCAAAATTGATCAGGCAAAGGTACCGTGAGGCAGCAGACATAATCAGAAAAGGGAAAATGTGTGCGCTCTTCATCAATGATCTTGATGCAGGGGCAGGCAGACTCGATGGGACGACCCAATACACAGTCAACAACCAGATGGTGAATGCCACTCTGATGAACATTGCTGATAACCCAACCAATGTTCAGCTACCTGGTATGTACAACAAAGAGGAGAATCCCAGGGTTCCTGTCATAGTCACAGGTAATGACTTTTCCACATTGTATGCCCCTCTTATCCGCGATGGTCGTATGGAAAAATTCTACTGGGCTCCTACTAGGGAAGACAGGATTGGTGTTTGCACTGGTATTTTCCTAACGGACCATGTTCCTGAGGACGATATTGTCAAGCTTGTTGACACCTTCCCTGGGCAATCAATTGGTATGTTTCCCCTCACTGATACCTAAATTGTAGCTGTATGATGAATGTATATTTCCAAATTATAATTAGTAATTACAACATAGAGATTATGGAGAACTATCGAGAACAAAGCAGAAGAAATAATTTCTTCATTTGCAGCTGAAGAGAATTTCAATAACAGAAAATCAGCAAAAAAAAAAAACACCTATAGCAAAATGCAGAGAAAAATGGAAAATCTTCCATTAGTTGATTCATGGAGGCTATTGGCAAATATGGTGTTAATGTTTAAAATCATTGTATTTGGGTGCAGACTTCTTTGGTGCCATTAGGGCGAGAGTGTATGACGACGAAGTGAGGAAGTGGATTTCTGGTGTTGGGGTTGAAAATGTGGGGAAAAAGCTTGTGAACTCAAAGGAGGGACCTCCAAAATTTGAGCAGCCAAATATCACACTTGACATGCTCCTTGGGTATGGAAACATGCTTGTCCAAGAGCAGGAAAATGTAAAGAGGGTCCAACTGGCCGACAAGTACCTGAATGAGGCAGCCCTAGGAGATGCAAATGAAGATGCCATAAAAAGAGGAACTTTCTTTAATTAGAAACCTTAGTGCTAAAGGCCTTGATTGGGATGTTTGCATCTGGCTTTTGGATTAAGAGGGAGTGAAGATCTTCAGAAGAGTTTCTTAAGCTTTTCTGTCAATGTTTGGGTGCAGGCAAAGCAGACCAACATTAACAACCTTCCTGTTCCTAAAGGCTGCACTGATTCAATTGTAGCAAACTTGATCCACCAGCCCAGGTCGAGGATGGAAGCTGCCTACCAGTTTTGAACAGGTTCTAGCCATTCGATTATATTATATACAGAGTAGCCACAAAATTGATGTATGTTATCAGTGATGTCAAATCTATTTCCTAGAAAATATAAGTGAAAACTCCCTGGATGACTTCTGTAATCAATATCTATCAACACACGTATACCTATAACTGTCTTGATGCACCTAAATGAACAGGTCTGGGCTTGAGCATGTTAAGTGCCTTGTACTTGGTCAAAAACAGGGAAAGGTAACAAAGTGCCTCATGATTGAAGCACTAATATTAGTAAGTCATTGCAATTCTGTTACTATTAAAAAGCCAAAACACCGACACTGATTTGATATGCTAATGCACCCTGTAAAAAACTTAAGCAAAAAACCCGATGTGTGCGTGACATTATACGTTTGTGACCCATTCCGCCTAATCTCCTCATTGGCCACTGTCGATGCAGTGATTAGATTAATGAGCAAATTGTGTTAGACTATTCATAACTCAAAGGTTTAGGCTTTTAAAGTTATGTCAAGTCCTGGTCAACTTTGCTGCACAAAATACTAACATAAAGTAATGAAAAGCAGTAAGTGGTTTGAAGTGAAGCTCCTTCAAACCTCCAAAATTTCAATATCTTATTGATACTGTGAGACTAACGAAAGGAATACTGCAGACATTGGCGACTATCTTCCTGTAGGAAAATCAAGATTCTTGCACACAACTACTAGAACAGAGGCATCTACAATGATTTCTGTCGTTGGCCTACTTGAAATTCCATTTTACTTGAGCTCCCACCTGGAGAAAACAAGGTTCCTTCTGGCTCGTGGATGTTTGTAACAGTAGAAATCCTTGTAGGATCCTAAATAGTGCACATATTAAGAACAGTCGAAAGAGTAGTCCCACGAGTTTGTTTTTATATTGATGATGCCTAAAAGTGGGTTTATATAAAATCAATCGAGGATGAAGTAAGAGGGCTCAACACAAAGATTAGGTGGTTCGGTCTAGGTGACCTACTCCATTAGGAATAACTATAGTGGTGAGAGAATCTTATTACGTAAGAGGCATAGTATGCTTAGATGTGTGTGATGTCCCCCATGTGTATATGGGGTTTACAATTTATAAACAAGTGAAGTTAGCTTCGAAGGGCTTTGATTGAGGCACATCCTTGTAACTGATTCTGTGAAACTCGTCTTACCTTTCTAACAGGCAAGGAGACTGCGGGGTGATTCTTTGTAGGTCGTCTTATCTCTCTTTTAATAGTCAACAATTGGTTATTTTTTTTTTTAAAAAAAAAAACGCTTGGCAGTGTCTGACTGAGTGCACTATTCAAGATACTTCTAACTGTGTTGAACAGGTGTCTGACAAGTACCCCTCCGGGAAGTATCCATGTTTCCTAGATACCTTCTTTATCTCATTATGTTTTGGTTCAACATAATTTATGTGCCCTTCACTTTCTTCTTTTGTCTAGGTTTCTATCGCAATTAATATTGAAAATGTTAGAATTTTGGACCCAATTTACAATATATGCACTTTTTTTTTAGTTAATGGTCACGTTTGTTGGCTATAGCTGATAACTTTGTTGGATAACATTGAATAAAATAACCAAGCAAAATTATTCTTGTTCTGAATAGAATGTAGAAATCTTCTGGCTGGAAAGGAAATCAGAATTTTTTTGGGCTAAGATTGAGGTTTCTCATTCTGTCATCTCTTAACTCGGATATAAATGAATCCTCCTCTTGAAATTGAATTGGTCAACATTTCTGCTGGTTGCATGTAGTTTTTCTTCACATCATTGAAGATGTGTGGGCGTATGATTTTACGTCGTTTGGTAACGGCCTTTTTGTTGAAATTTGTAATTCCCACCGAGTATTTCTAGGCTATTTTAAGATTCATATGAATCCATGGATGAGTACTCAATGGAGTTGATTTTTGCACGACTTGCCTAAGCCTTTTCTTGAAGGATATTGGGCTTAGGTTCGGACAGACTAACTATTTGGTCTATTTTTTCGGGCCGAGATAATGAGTCTTCTGGGTCAACCCGGTCCATGGACACCCCTATTTTTTTCAACTCATTTATCATGTATGCATCCATATACTCGAAATCAAGTTCATGAGTAAATGGCTCAAAATATTTGTTCCAAATGGAAAGAAAAATACATTGCTTTTGGAAACTGGTTGAACAAACATTGTTATGCCCAGAATTTACTTTAATTTTCCCCTCTGCAAATTTGCAATCTCGGTCCAAATCTTCGGCTTGTATGGTTCAGCTAAACAAGAGAAGGGAGGACAAGTCCTTATCAAACAGTAGGAAACCAGCACCCTTTTTTTGAATGTTACTGTCATTCTAGAATGTTGAAATCTTGATGCAAACTTGTTATATCAACAATGGTATATTGTTCTTAGTCAATACGAAATTTAGAGCCAAATGTCAAAGATTATTATAAAATCAGATGTTGATTACAACTACTGAATTGTTTACGAGCTGCTGACCGTATGAACAAAATCCATGCCAACAAGCTGTATTTTACATATTGCATATACATTGAATGCTGATGAATCCTTATACTGACAGGTTATTACATTCAATATCATGTAAATTAGCCCAAAGTTGTGCCATAGATTACAATTTCACTCACTTATTCCAAGAAAATTGGTGTTTTAAATCATTCTCCGCAATCCTGCAATGACCTTTCACTCTCATTTCATAATATGGCAAGACAGAGCATTACTGTTTAGTTTCTGTCAGTTATATGTAATCTTCACATATATAGTTCTATAATTAGCACCTTTAGTGCTAAGGGCCGTGATGGAATGAAGATTTCAGAGGAGTTTGTTTTAGCTCTTTTTGTCAGGCAAATTAAGGAGCCCAACAACTTGACCTTCCTGTTCCTAAAGGCTGTACTGATCCAAATTCAACAAACTTTGATTCAACAATGGGAACTACTGGTACCAGCTTTAAACAAGTTCTAGGCATTTGATCTTGTTGACAATAGAGTTGGCACAGAATTAAGGAATGTATTCAATGATGTCAGATTGATTGACTGCATAATATAACTGAAAACTAACTGATCACCTCTATAACTAAGATCAACTTACCTATATGCTATTCGAAATGAAAACTGCTGATACGAGAGCCTTGATGCAAAATAAATGCACGGTATTGGGCTTAAGAATGTTTTTCTTTTTTTTCGGTAAGGCTTAAGAATGTTAAGTGCCTTATTTTTCGTCAAAAATATTAAAAAAATACTGAAACAGTGCCTCGTGATTAAAGCACTAATATCAATAATTTCATTGCAATTCTGTAGCATCTGTATAATATAACCACAACACAAATATATTAAACAGCTAAAACAGCAAGGCACTAATTTGAGATGCTAATGCAGCCTATAAAAGCTTAGACAAGGAAAAACCCCAATGTAAGCATGACGATATGCAACGTGAGCCTGAATGATCTATAGTGCCACAACATGTTTATTTCCTATGAATTATACGTTCTAGAATGCAAATTCTCTACGTCAAGTCGATGTAGCGATTAGAATATTCATAACACTCAGTTTGGTCTTTCAAGTCATGTCAAAACCTTGTCAAACTTGCTGCACAAAATATCTTTATAAAGTAATAAAGTATAGCAAGTGGGTTGAAGTTAAGCCCCTTATTTTCTATATCCTGTGGGACTGTTAAGACTAAAGAAAGGGATAATGCAAACATAGATGACCATCTTCCTCTTGGAAAACAAAGATTCTTTCACACAGCTGCTAAAACAAAGCCATCTTCACTGATTTCCATTGCTGGCCAACGTGGAATTCCACTTCACAAGAACTCAGAGTCCCACTAGTAGATGCCTACAAAGCACTGAGATTTTTTGTTTTTATGGGTGTTTATTTGGGTCACTTTTTGTTAAGGATTGGCCACTTTAATTTCAGTATTTCCTGTTCAAATCCATCTGTATAGCCCCATGTGACTTTAGCAGCACACCTTTCAGATCTTCCACAGAAAATTTCTTGCATCCACCAATAATAACATGCTTAAATCCTTTCTTCAGTCCATAATCAGCAAACCCAAAACAAATCTTGAACACTTTTTGATCCAAGTTGTTTAATTCCATTCCCTCTGCAATGGCCAGTTTTATGATACTTCTTTTTTCTTTCATTTTCTTCTCAATCCCAGCTTCACCCCAACTAGATGAGTTTGTCTACAATGGATTCCATGAACCAAACATCAATATAAGCTTGAGTGGAGTGACACAGATTCACAACAATGGCCTTCTTCAACTGACAAATGAAACCAGTCGACTAATTGGTCAGGCTTTTTATCACTCACCACTTCAGTTCAAAAACTCCACCAATGACACTGCCTTCTCTTTCTCAACCTATTTTGCTTTTGCCATCATCCCAGAGTATCCAAAACTGGGCGGCCATGGTCTCGCTTTCACAATCTCTCCATCCAAATATCTCAAATCAGCTCTACCAAGTCAGTATCTTGGACTGCTCAACGCAACCGATATGGGCAACTTCTCCAACCACATATTTGCAGTTGAATTTGATACAGTTCAAGACTTTGAGTTTGGGGACATCAATGATAACCATGTTGGCATTGACATCAACAGTTTGGAATCAGATAAGTCTGCTTCTGCTGCATATTTCACTCATGATTCCACGCAGAAAGATCTGAATCTCAAGAGTGGTAAGACTACACTGGCCTGGATCGAGTATGATTCAGTTACAAATTTCATCAATGTTTCCATTTCGCCATCTTCTTCAAAACCCAAATTGCCAATCTTGTCTTACCACTTTGATCTCTCTCCAATTCTTCTTGAAAACATGTATGTTGGATTCTCTAGTTCGACTGGTTTGCTTGCTAGCTCGCATTACATTTTGGGTTGGAGCTTTAAGATGAATGGAGATGCCAAATTATTGAACTTAAATTCGCTTCCTTCACTTCCTGGAACCAAGAAGAAACATACAGGTCTAATTATAAGTGCCTCGATCTTGGCAGTTGTTACTATTGCTTTTATTTTCGTCGCTATTTACTTGATCAGGAAAATCAAGAACGATGATGTTATTGAGGCCTGGGAACTCGAGATTGGTCCGCATAGATATTCATACCCAGAACTCAAGCAAGCCACCAGAGGTTTCAAAGACGATGAGCTACTTGGGATTGGTGGATTTGGTCGAGTTTACAAGGGTACTCTACCGAATTCAAGCACTCAAGTTGCTGTGAAGCGCATTTCACATGAATCAAAACAAGGTTTGCGTGAATTTTTTTCTGAGATTTCTAGTATTGGTCGGGTTCGTCATAGGAATTTAGTTCAATTATTAGGCTGGTGTCGAAGTCTTGGTGATCTGCTACTTGTCTATGAATTTATGCCTAATGGAAGCTTAGATAAGTCCTTGTTTGATCAACCCAAATCAGTGTTGAGTTGGGAACAGAGGTTCAAGATCATCAAAGGTGTTGCTTCGGGTCTATTGTATTTACACGAAGGATATGAACAAATTCTGATACACAGAGACATTAAGGCTAGCAATGTGTTGCTTGATGGTGAATTAAATGGTCGACTTGGAGATTTTGGACTAGCAAGGCTATATGAGCGCGGGTCAAACCCGAGTACAACTAGAGTGGTGGGTACATTGGGGTACCTTGCACCAGAACTGCCAAGGACAGGGAAGGCCACAACAAGTTCTGATGTGTATGCCTTTGAGGCCCTATTGCTTGAGGTTGTATGTGGAAGAAGGCCAATTGAGCCTAAGGCAGGGCCTGAAGAGTTGGTATTGGTGGATTGGGTGGGGGAGAAGTGGAGAGAGAAGAGAATTCTTGATGTGGTGGACATTAAATTGAAAGGTGAATTTGAAGAGAAAGAAGTTGTGATGGTGTTGAAGTTGGGACTAATGTGTTCAAGCAATGCGCCATTGACACGGCCTAGCATGAGGCAGGTGGTGATTTACTTGGAAGGCGAGGCTGTGGTTCCAGAGGTGTTAAGGCCAGCTAGTGCATATGATGGAGACATAGGGGATGGTGGTGATCAGGAAGGGCATGATGATTTTCTTCATTCATTGGAGAAGACGACGAGGCCGTATTCATTCATGGCAAATGGAGATGTTGATGCTAGTTTTGCTTCTGTTTCCATTTCCCCTCGTCCACTTCTCTATAACAAAGGTGTTGTGATCGTGCAGCAATTATGGTGAATAGTAAGGAATCAAACAATTAAGAAAACAAGAGAAAAAATAACACACAGAGATTTACGTGGTTCGGTAATGTGCCTACATCCACGAGAGTGAGCGGCCATTCTTTTTCATCATTGAAAGTAGGGTTACATCTTAAGTATTTATATAACCCTAATACGGACGTATTTACAAAAATTTCCCTGTACCATACTTCGGGGGCATTGCCCTCGCTCCCCCAATTAATCAGCGTCCCCTTTATACAAATCCCGCTCCGGCATCTGCCTCCTTACCATTATGCACACAACAATATATGAGCCACACATACTCTAACAAAAGGGGATGCCAGATAGTAAGGGCAGTCTTCTAAAGGCAATCTTCCTGACTTTTCCTGGAAAATATTTCTTGATTCAAAGGAAAAGAGTATGATATGAGAGATCGGCATAAGGACTTCACTCGACCCCAGGTAAAAAAATACAGTGCAACCTTGGTTGACAATTGCCCCAGGAGAAAAAGAAAAAAATACATATTTTTTTTTGTTTTCTGATCAGAACAACAAAAGAACATCTTGATTTGAGTTATTTGGGCAGCTGTTCTTTCTTCTGTGGGTCTCCATTCACATTTAGAATTCCAATGAAAGTTGGGGCAGTTGAACTCTTACATTTTTAAGGCAGGTGTGGACTTGGACTCCAATCTCTCTCCTTTTTTTTTAATTTGATTCAACGTTAAAGTATGTCCGAGCTAGCTTAAGTGCATTTCGACTAATTTTATAGAGTCAAAAGTGAGCTGAATAGCAGATCAGTTATCACAATACAATGTGAATGGAAAGTCACTGGAAAATCTCATCTTGCCAAGAATCAATCATAGTCAGATAACCTCACACGTGCAAAGTGTCGGGGCCTAATACGCTGCCTCTACTGACGAGCGGGAGACAACTGTCTGCTTCTTGTTCTTCTGAGAGATAAGATGAGTCAAGCACGATGGCGAAGCACGAAGGTGAGAGGTGTTGGAGGCACTGGGACTGGGTACTAGCACTCGACTTGATGCTTACAAGCGCCAGCACTGGTTACCTATGGTGCTAGTGTTGGGCAGTGGTGGTTTAGGTAGCGGAGGCGTGGGGGGCTAAGGGGGGGCAGCTAGGGTTAGGGAAGGCGAAGGGGTAGGCTAGGGTTTGACTTTGATACCTACTAATATTTTTTGAAAGTAAAAAGATGCACAAACTGAGTGCAGAGCTATGTATTTATAACCAAATAAAAAGTACAAGTAACCAGAATATCCCTCTGGTCTGGGTAAAACATAAAAGTCACAATACAGACAAAAAAGAAAAAAAAAGGAAAACAAGAAAACTAATAAACTAGACTATAACTCCTACACTATTTGATCTGATCAAAAACAGATTATCATCTTCGAAACTAGAATATTCATGAGGAAAACTTATGTATACGAAGAAGTCATACCATGAATCATTTTCTCTAAATTTTCAAGTTACGAAACAATGGTGATATGTAGCCTAAATTACTGATTACCAAAGGGCATTATACTTGGCTTGATTAATCTAAATTAAATAATCCTTAAACATTGGATGAATATTCTTCTCGAAACGCTCACCAACTAACTTTGCCATATAATTTTTTCCCTCTTAAAATAATATATATATATATATATATATATATATATATATATATATATATTTATTTATTTATTTATATATATATACACACACACACACAAAGACGTAATCATCTCAAGAGTAATTAGACTTTGATTGGTAAAATTATTTTGCTCAATCATCTTTTTATCAGATTCATTAGTGGGAATCTTGAAAGGTGGTGCTTTTACTTCAAAGTTCTTGTGGTTGGTTACTATGGTTTCAGCAGGAGGATGACTAGAGGATATTGTGGAAGCAACTGATGTTTTCCACTTATGTTTGGTTATTACATTAACTTCTTTATAATGGTTTTCTAAGTAATCAAAAAAAATAGATTTCACATCTTATTTCCATCATAAACTTAGTCCATTTTTCAATTATTTGATTTCTTTGACTATCATTGTATTTTTTACTAAATTCTTGTCTTTTAGATCTATTTTCCTTAGACATGAATTCTTCTTTTAACTCTTTAAAATCAAATTAAAAATACTGCATTTGTTACTTTGCTAATTGTGAGTAACAGATGATTTACTGGATAGTTGCTTTCTAAATTAGAAGTAGAGGGAGATGGTGTGAAGTCATTTTCTTCTTCTTGTACTCTTGATTTTGGAGTACTTGTTTGTGGTGCATAATAAGGTTTACTAATTTGTGAAGAGGAATTATCAATTACCTTTAATTTAAATCTTCTTTCTAACTCATTTGCTAAATCCTTGTCTCTTTTAGTTATACTAGAGTGAGACTCATATTTTCTTCCTTCATTTATTTGAAGAGGTTTACTAAATGATCTGTTTGATAGATGAGATCTCGTAGAATCAAAGGAGATTCTTACTGATCCATTAGAAAACTACTGGATATTTTCTAAGTTTGTTGTGGTGTTTTCACTATCTTTATTATAACTCTCATTTTCATCAGTCCAGGATTCTGGAAGTTGAACATGAAAGTTTTACCATTTGTTTCTTCCTATGCCAGAAAGTTGTAGAAAGGTTAGAACACACTTCTGTTTCCAGTTTAGCTTTAAATTCTTCAATCCTTTTTATTAGGATTGGATTTGCTAATTATTCTTGGACTCTTTTTTGTGATTAATTTCTTCTTTGAGAAATTTCACTTGGTTAGTTTTTTGAGTTATTAAATTAAGGGACATAGAGATTGAATACTCTTTCAGTTGCCTTAATTTTTTAACCTGGGATTTGGTTAAGAATTTGAAAGTTACCTCTTGACCAAATAGCTTGGCGGTTAGTCCATTAATATCTATGGTAAAGGGATATAATAGATATATAAATGGTACACCAAGAATGACTTTATCAGTCATGTTATTTACTAAAACAAAGGATGTTTTAAAACAAATATTGTTTTGGCAAATATGTAAATTTGGCAATTTGTATTTTACTCCCATTTTACTACCATTTGTAGCACTGACAATTACGGTTGTCTTGTGGTAGTATTTGGTTGGTATAAACCCTTACTGTATGCAATTTAAATCTGCACCAATGTTTATGAGGGCTACTGTGTTGATTTCATAATCATCATTGATTATGAGTTTTACTTTGGAGTGCCATTTTTGGATATTTAATCTGTTGATTAAATTTATCCTATCATCATCACTATTTTGCGAACATCCTTCTCGTGAAGGCAACTTTGTTACACCCAAGGGTTCCACAGAAAAGGTGGAGGTTATGCGTATCCGCTGGAAACATGTTCTGGTTGAACTATGTGAGCTATCCGGGTTGTTATCTTCAGTTTTAGATTGCTCTTTAAGACCAAAGTCTTATAATTTACTAAAATCATCTTTTGTTTGTAAAAGATTTAAAGCTTCTCCTAACTTTTTGTCTTGTGCTTTTAAATCTTTTATTTCTTGTTTTAATTTATTTACTTCACATTGGAGATCTTGCAAGGTAATTTCTTTCTTTTTATCCTTACTAAATCTTTCTATTGTTTTGTTAAAACTAATTAATTTTTTTTCACTAAAAGATTGTTTAATGTCTTTCTTGACAAAAAAGTCTGTAAGTTGTTTGATATATTTAATTTTTAACTCTGGATCTTCTATTTTACTAATGAGATCATTGAGGATTTGTTATTCCTCAACTTGCTTGGTTATGACTCTAATTGTTTTACAACAATTATCTTTATAACCTAATTTTATATCAGGTTCACTAGAGTTCCTAGATACTGACTGATAGTCTGAAGAACTTTCAGGACAGCTTGAGTCTTCTGAACTTTTTTTATTTTGGCTAAGGTTACTTAATTTAAAGATGTTAAGAAATTCTTCTTCTTTATCTTTAGTTAATTGTAACTATTTGATTTTCTTTTTAACTGGGCATTCTGGGCTGATATGACCTTTTTTTCCACAGTTAGAATATTCAATGTCTTTACTATCTTTCTTTTTCCCTGATTTTTTCTTATAAGTTTTCCTAGGTTTTTTACTAGATTTTCCATAGTATTCTGGTTTTGGAAAATTCTTTTTACAACGTTTATAGTGATTTTTGCTACGACTGTAAGGCTTATGTGACTTGTGTTTTCTGTTAGATGATGCTACTGAAGGGAGACCATATTTTTCTTGTCATCTTTTAAGTGTTTACTAATTTTCATATCAATACGCATTTGCATACCTTCTTTTTGGATGGTACTGATTAAATCACCATAGATTAGTTGATCATATTCTATGATTCCTGATTCTTTACTAAGTGTTTCTCTAATCTTATGGGCAAAAAGATTAGGTAGGCCATTAATAATTTTTTCTTTGTACATACCCATCTTGTGTTATTCGTCAGATTTGTTGTCTTTTTCTCCTATTCTGCCTCTCACTAGGACTTACACTAGGATCTAGACTCTCTACTCGGATGACTAAGTTTAGGTGACAAGGGTAGATAAGACTTAAAAGTGATTTACTAATTGAAGCATCAAAGATTCAATAACAAGTAAGATGAAACAAATATAATTCAATGGTTAACTACCCAGACCGTCAAATGGCTCTGATACCAAAATAAAACAGTCTGGCCTAAGCATTACTCTTGAGATGAATACGTCTTTGTACCATCTAAAATCACTAAATGTTGGACATCTTAGGTTACTAAGCTGATCATGGATCTTTGCTTCAATATTACTAGGGATTCCAATAAAATATTTGATTATGGTGAAGATGAGAGTGTTAACTCCATTTGTTTTTTGAGAGTGTTAAATCCACCTGATTTTTCTTTTCCTATCTTTTCATCAAAGATTGACATATTTTCATCATCTAGTTCAAGAACATACCTGATGTTGTCTTTAGATTTTTGGTTAAGGTAATTGTCCCACCAGTTTTTTTACATTCCTGTGAAGCCAGAAATGATTAGATCAACTATTTTTGATTCTGTGTTGTCAAGATTGTTAATGTAATTGT